CTCTCTCTCTCTACTCTCTCTCTCTCTCTCTCTCTCTCTCTCTCTCTCTCTCAACTTCCGGAATCCTCCCTCGCGTATTCTTTTTTCGGCTCGACTTCTTCATCTCGCTTTGAAGAATACGACATTGGCTTTTTCTTTCTCTCTCTCTTTTTCTTTCTCTCTTTCTCTTTCCTTCTCTCGGTAATTGTACGCGTCTTTCGAATCCTTCGCATAATTTATGAGCGGCTTCCTCCTTCCCTTTATCCTGATCTTTGCTTCTGTCAGAGTTTGACGGAGATGTAAATTGGAATAGCAGGTGTGTAATTTGGACAGACAACGAAACGGAAACGCGCAATGTAAATCGCTATTAATGCATCGATGTCATCGGGTCGCCGGCGATTGCGCTTGACACCCGCAATTAATCCGTGGACCTGGCTATCGAGTTTAATTCTGACTCTCTGATTAGATTACGAGAAAATCTCCGTCCAACTCTCGCCGGAGCCTCTCGTACTTTCGAACTTGGATAAACTTGATCTATTATCTATTGTCGAAATTGGTTATAATTACCAGCGATGCATCAATTACATTGCTCCGTTATTATGATTATTCTATAAGCGAATATTTACAACATGATATCAGAGGAGAAGATTTTAAACGGCCATGCCAGTAGTTGGAGTCAGATTTGTACTCACTTCGGATTTATATTCATTTGTTAATTCATTTGTAACATTGTTAATTCTTAATACTTCTCGCAGCAAAGTGTATCGGCTTTGTCAATAGCACGCTAATCCCTTGGTCTTGTATCTGCATACGCGTTAAAATGTTATCATCTAGAGTGGCATCAGAGGCAAACACAATGCCGCGGGCTGCTATCGGAGTCCGTCAAGAGGATCAGGAGATTAAGTGCCACTCGGATAATAATTTTAATAACCGGAATGCACTCTCTCTCTGATCGTTATAAGTACTTAGCTCTATCCGGGAGAACGGATCTTTTACTTCCCAAGCCCGATATGTTTTTACAATACCGATTTGCGCGCCGAGTCACGCTCCGTTATCCCCGGGGGCGGCATTTATATTTCACAACTCAAAAATTACACAAATGCTAAGCCGATGTGATTCATCGTGTGTTACATATAACTTAACAAGTCCGCCATTTAAAATGACAATTATGAGGAAATATGAAAAAGGTGAAATTGACGGAATAAAGGTAATATTAACAAAGGAGTTAATTATTCAGCATAAACGAGAAACATATTTCATCAAAGATCTCTTTCTGATTCAAGACAAACTTTTAATAAGATAATGACTATATATTATTTACAACGCACAATAATAATATATATTATATTTATAAGGTAATAAGTTCTTATTTAATATTTTCATTTTTTTAAAGGAATGAAAACGTCAAAGGAGGGAAAATAGAAAAAGATCCAATTTTTTTTAAATAACGTATTTACAGCATATTCTAAAGATCGTTTAAAGCTTAAAAACGTTTATTTCCCTCAACTTTTCAAAGTTTTCGCTTAAAAAAGACTGTAAGTGTGTCCAATAGAGCTATAAATCGTGTGCACGTAGCCAACCGAAAAATTAGGCGAGATACGTCTTTCCGAAACACATCCGGAAACTTTCGAAAACTTCTTAGCTGCACCTGAGACCACGTATAATCTTCACCCTCTCTCATTATTACCAGCTTATCCGAGAACGTTTTTGTACGTGCGTATTAATAGCCATTTTAAGCCATGTATTTTTATATTTCTATTTACTTTTAGGTCCTACCTATTCGAATTGATTCATAATTTTCTCCGATGACAAGAAAGTTCTCCGATGACAAGAAAGTTAAGCTAAGACTTATAATCCATTTTACAGTGAAAATAGGTGTCCGTCTAATCTGACCATTTCATTCTTCTCGATCTCCATTCGGGGAGTCTATCTACGGAGACAGGTTGTCACCTCGAGCGCGTTTTTCACAAGAGGCAAACCAGCGGCTAATCCCAAGCACAAACAGTTTATGGTGTTTGTTCGCTTGGCACCCCTACGGCGCAACGACCCCGCGTATCCCCGCGGGACCAGTTTGCTTAGGATCTGCGCGAATCGACTATCAATTTATTTAGCAGCATCCGAGGGAGGTTCTCTTTACGACATTGATTCTGTCCCGAGTTCGGCGAGAGTCGTTAGTATTATTCTCGCGTCTCAATACAGCTTTAACAGTAGTGATTAAGAGCTTAAATTTAAGCTGGTAACAATGTATGTAAGTCTGTTTTCCTTATTTGAAATAATATAAGCATAAATCTAAGATTAAAGAAAGGGAGTATTTGTTGCAAGAAAATATAGAAAATAATATAAGAGATATTTGAGAGATCAAAAGCCTTTAATATATAAAAGATACACATTTCAGAATATCAATAGAATAGAATGTTCATACCTGAAAATACAGTTCAGTTGCCAAACAGCGCCAAATAGGGATGGAAATTGTCTATCTCACAATTAAATCACGATCACCGAGTGACGGTCCAAGTATTCAATTCTTTATAGATTTCTTTCTTCGAATGTGACGAACATTATTTCCTTTGAATATTTGACGGACACTCGTTGCTACAACGACGGCGAAACTCGGTCGCTCAAAGACTAACTTTCTTCAGCTATGACAATCGCTTAATCGGATTTCCTCAATCACGGCGACGGTTCTTTCACTTTCGGTAAATGTTCATTTCGCCGATCACGATCGTCTTTCTTCAACACCAACGACGAATGCTTCAATCGCTCCTCCCGCGACGTTCCTTCAGCTATGACATTTAAATCACTTTAATTACGACTATTAAACGTTCCGCGCCCTAATGGGCCAATGCTTGTCTCGTACTGTCGCGGTCGACTACGAAACGTGTTCGAGGGTTTACCCGCGAAGCGAGCTCGATTGTCCTCCGCGCACGGGATGCGTATCAGGCCGTACTTCGCGCGCCTCTTTCACGTCACCCTCTTTCTCTCCGGCTGGCACCCCCGCGATGAGCGAGAGCGCTAAATCGGGAACTCGGGTAGCAAAGAACCGCCCCCCGAGTGTCCCACCCCCGTGACAACCAACCCCATGCCGACGAAGGCGGGGCCTCCTGGCTCTCTTGCCTCTCCGGGGGTGGCTCACCTCAGGGGTAACTACAAACACGTACTTACACGTACTTACCGAACGTTATTATTATACCCGCACCCGACTCACAAGCGCGCGAGCGCATATAAACGGTGATGAGAGAGAGGGGGGAGGGAGGGAAAGAAAGAGAGAGAGAGAGAAGATGAGAGTATATATGCGCGCGAACGCACTTGCATTTACATGGACTTTTACAAGATATTCCAGTCGTACGCAGATCCAGTAAAGTGCAAATCGAAGAAGATTTAACCGTTGTTTCAAAACTGTTAATATTAATAAATACATTTTTCAAATTTCAAATGTTTGTTAAGAAAATTGACTTAAAGCTTTTCAAACAATGTGCCACATTAATATTTTCCTAGTAACAAGAAATTTAAGGATTTAATTAAATTAGTCTCCGAAGACACAAAATATGAAAAAGCTTGTTCTTTAATTAATTTTAAGAGTTGTTTCGTTAAAAAAAAAAAATAATTCCGTAATTGCTTAATACATTGTCTAATTGCTAAAATACATTAAAATAATTAGAGTTGTGTATAAATTTCTGAATCAATGACGAATTGCGATGTGTCTGTGATGTGTCGGTAGCGACTTGAAGGAGGTTTTGCGAAAAACAATTTTCAAGGCGCCTTTTCCGTGTGCACACAACCTACGATAGGACCTACGTCGCTAAGGAGTGCGCCTACGACGATATTCAAGACGATTAAAGGACGCGCGCGAGCATCTCTGTTCGTTCGTGACGCAAATTAAATCCGCTTAACACGGATCTGCAAGGGGGATAGGAGCGATCTGCCGAGAGGCTTTTGACCGAACGGAGAATAACTCGTCCTAGCAACAGGGACAAACAGTATTACGTCCTGGAAGACGATGCACTTACAATCGGACGTAGCTCGTCAAGAAATAACTCTCAAGATCAAAAAGGATTAATTTCTTATATAAATATAAATGTGCATAAATTTACAAAGTTTTTATCGTAATTAATAACACTTCTATTTTTCAATTGTTAAATTAAATTTGATGGGTGATATTTTTAGATTTTTTAGAAATGTTTGTATTGAAAGATTCTCTCTCTC